ACACACACACACACACACACACACACACACTATATATATATATATATATATATATATATATATATATATATATATATATTATAGTTCGTCTGCATAAGCTTTAAGAAATCGAGCGTAGCATTCGAACACATGTCTTCATATTGTGTAGATATGGATATGCAGCTATTAGAATAGAGATACTTCATATAATTAAAAGGTTACAAAGTAGCACATAATTATAGATAATATTTTGTGTATTAATGTTGACATATCATGAGGCAACTATATATATATATACACACATATATATATAAGCAAGTTTCCACGCTTTAACGAATCGTTCTTAATATCCAGCAAGACAGCTCGAGCTTCAATACGTTTCTAATACACAACACCTTAGTCGATTTAACATGATTGGATTAGGCATAACATACCCAAAGGTGCGCTGTCTATATCCACCACTTTCGCCTGTACTTCTTTATCAGTGACATCCGTCTCCACATCTTTTACACGTGCATACGCAGCATTTACTTTGGCGTTTATCCTGCTTCTCAAGGCATCTGTGTCTTCTGTTGGTGTCTGTAAGTGGTTCGCGAGGAACATATCCCTTGTCCTCTTTAATGTCCTGTATGTGGCTTGATCTATTTTAAGTTTGGGGTCCGCAGCCGTAGCCGAGCTTTGTGCAACCATGTTAGCTTATTTGATTGAATGCTTTCTTTTTCTTTTTGCTATATTTTATTCGTCTCAGTTGGCCTGAGTTGTTTAAACTATACGCGAGTAAGGTGCAAACACGAATATAAGGTACCTTAGAGAGGTTCACAACTATTTAGCAAAACACGTCTATGATCACATTGAATTACTTCCTCTATTCTATCATATCAACTCTCCTTTACGCCGTTCTGATTTCAGAAGTCAATATGATCGTATAGATTATGATTGGCATTGTGAAGAGCGTGTGCATTGGAAAAAAAAAGTAAACTCTCTATAAATAGATATGAGAAGTCAGTGTAAAGCGCCGGCTTCGGCATCAATTTTTTTATGTTTGCTTTTTATTAAAAAAATAATATTAATTAAATGTACACATTTTTAAAGATTGAACACTGACAGCCTCATATCATGAATGCTACGAAACTGGAGGTATAAACTACAGTCTGCATGCGTACTACACATTATAGAATGTCTGAAATTATAGAATGCCTGAAATTATTCACCAAGTCCCGGTTCTCAGTGTTACCTCATATGCTGCATTCTCATAGACCATTCGACGGACAAGGTTGAACTAGCTACATAGTCATCATTGTCCAATCAAACATAACACTCATAGCTACTAGCTAGGCATGGTGCATTGGTATGGATTCTAGGATCTGGGTATTGTGTATCGATATATACAAAGTTGTGCTTGTGACATGACATGTGGTTGACAACTTCACGGCTTCATAGCCAATTAAGACAGGCCTTGTCTAATATTTTTTATACTTGTGCAGTCTTAAATTTCAGTGCCATATTGTCTCTATACCTTTAAATACCTGTATACAGGTATGCGATATGCTTGATAGCAACTAGTCATAGTCTGTTACAACTAACGTAAGTATAACGATGAGTTTGCATATACACTTGTGAATTATATACGGCTTTTGATAGCTGTAGCACAGACTGTACAAAGCAGGAATTGAAATATTGAGGTTGAGGAACAAGAGGTGTGAGCTTAGAAGGTAATTGTGTGTGATTTTATCAGTTATATCACATATCAGTACATATATAGTATGAGAGCACAATTAATTACAACTACTTGGCTAGAACACTCTCAATGTAGTTACATTGTTGTCGGACAAGTAAACTCATCGGAACAAACGTATGTGTAGGCATTGTATGCGATTGTTACACTGCAAATTGGGTGATAGTGTGCAGTCTGCTATAATATTCTCATATTGTCCATCCAGTTATAGTCTCGGACTGGATTCTAAGAGTCGTATGAAACTGTTGCAGTATACGGTGACAGTAATATATTGCTTCAAACATATGAATGTGTATAACTGTTGCTTCACGTGATGTTATGTAGCGTACACTTTATTTGACTCTTATCGAATCCTCGTTTCCTCAAACTGTCGTTTTAGAGTCCTATCAGGCTATCAGCAAGTGTTTGCCACGACATAAAATGTGATAGTTAATTACACAATAAAAGGCTGCCTGACCTTCAAAACCAAGGAAACATTCTGTATTGAAGCCGATAATCCGATATTTATATGCATACTGATGTGTATTTATTTTTTATAGCCCTGCACCTCAAGAAATTTTATTGCAACATAGTTAAACGCAGTAGGACGTAAACCGTAAGGTCGGTTTAAAATTCTGTTTAAAATAAGCATATGTGCTTTTTATACTTTCTCGCCTTTCCTCCTGAAGCCCTGAATGTATAGTAAATTCTTACAGCCAATGAATTCACGAGATTTGATCGACGGGTGTACAGAACTTTTTTTAAGTGAGCAGCTGCACAGGCTCCAGGAAAAGACAAAAACCACTACAGAGTAGTCATGATGTGGGTGCTGGAGAGCCTGAGAACTTTTGAGTACACTTTCAAAGTATTCTTTTATAAAAAACCCCGAAAAATATTAGGAAATTACCTAGTAAATAGTAGAGGTGCGCCTGAGAACTTTTGTGCACATTTTCAAAGATTTTTTCTACTAAAAAAACGAAAATTATTAAGAAATTACCTAGACAGGTTCACAAATACATTGAGTTCTAAAGAGTAAAGAATTCGTCGAAAATGAGTGATTTCATTGGCTGCAAATATTAATTCGATATTAAATAATAAAAGGTAATTTTTTGTTTTAAAAACAAAATTCGGATCGAAGGCGGTCCAGAATCACAGACTCAAAATAGGTTTTTTAACACAATTCAAAGAAAAAAAAGTATATTGTTTAAAAAAAAACCATTTTAATACATACTTGCGTCTTGATGTAAATATAGTATGTAATTTAAAAAATATTTGAGCAGGGCCAGGCATAAGGCTATTTATGCATGATATTTTAGATAAAAATATTGTTTTCAAACAAACACACACATTTTTTTTTTTTGTATCAGTTCATCTGTCATCAGGACCTCATCTCGAATTTTCTATTAGTGAGTTCAATTATAAAATCATCGAATAGGAATAATAAGTTATGATTTGTCTATTGTTGGAAGTCCATAGAAATCGTAATTAACACCCTGGCAATTAAAGTCGTGTTATTTAAAAAAATCAAACACAATTAGTTTTTAAAATATCGACAAATTTGTTAAAATACAAATATTGTTAAAAAGTACAGATGTAATTATGTATGTACACTTGTCAGTTGTCACTGGTACAGGTATAAACAGTATTCCTCAATTAAAAATAGATACTGATTCTCACTGTATGCATGCAGTACGACTGTACGTATTTTTATTATTTAAATTTTTGATTGGTTGTTTTAAAATAAAAATTGAATTTAAAAAAATCTGTTTAATAAATTAACACTGTACAGTGTAAAACTTTAAATACAATCAGTATGTAATTATAGCAGACTGTACTCTGTAGTTAGTTTTTAAAAATTTTATCGCTATTTTTTCGTTAAAAAACAGTTTTAACTTCTCGACAAAAATAATATCTCAGGAATCAGATCATTCAAGAGTCAAGACTCGTGCAGTATGCCTCAGTCTCACATGGGCCTAATAGCTGATACCTGCTGATGGCTACTTCATCATCGTGGCTGCTTGGAGTCTGGCTGAGTGACTGGAGCCAAATAAATATTTATAAAAATAGGCTGGAGCCTGGATGAATGGTCAGTGGAGGACTGGAGAGTGGAGGCCGGAGCGGAGGGCCACATTTGTTAAAAAAAGAAACAGGAACAATTTTTAAATGTATAAAATATGAAATTCATTGGATCAAAGAATCTTGATCTGGGGACTCTCGGATCTTGGCCTCTTGAAGGTACATAAACTACATACTAGTTAAAAAAAGTCCGGAGTACCCCCCCCCCCAAAAAAACAAAAAAAAAACAAAAACGACCCCCCTTATAACACGACAACCAGGTCACCAAGAGACGACCCCGGACTCCAGAGTCTCAGACTCTAAAGACTTCCCAAAGAGTCTAAACAAATAGTCCACGACTCTACAGATTTATTCTATAAATATATTTTCGATAGTAAATACCTTTTTAAATATATAATTTTAAAAGATAGTTTTGATTGATTCCGATATTAACGCGCTGATAATTTATGTATATTCACTTTCTAAAACGAGACACAGGAAGTGTAGTATATTTAAAAATAGGCTGCGAGTCTTGCGACTCATCACTAAAATACAATACTATGCCTATGCGCTCTGCAGTTTGCAGTTTGCACTTCCGCAGTTGGCACTCTGCGACGGCACTCTATTGCACTCTGCGAGAATGCAATGCCTGGCTCTTGCCTTCTGCGGCTTTAACCCCTGGGGGAAAATGGGCTTAGCCTTCAGACCTTCTGGCTTCTGCTCTCTCTATCTAGCTCTCTCTCTAGTAGAGAACCAGTACATAGTCCAGTACCCTCTGGCTTTGGCTCTGGGCCTGGATTCTGTAGTAGTAAAAAAACAAAACAAAGAAAACAGCAAAAAAATATTTACATAGGTAATTTACTATATACTCTACAATTCTACATACCTCATATATTATTATTTACATACATAGTCGATAGTCGATAGTCGATAGACGATAGTACAGTATAATAAATAGTAAAAACAAACTATTTTTTATAATTTATATATGCAGCATAAAATAGTTAGCATTTTTGCGGTCTTTTCCCTCCACAACAAGTACATTGGTAAAAAAATTGCTCTCCCATCAATTGGGCGCGATTGCTTCGCACATTTTTTTTGTTTTTTTGAAAGAAAAATTCATATTTGTATTCGGTTGTTGGGTACGCCTGATAAACTACAAACCTAAAACCCGGGCCTCCTGAGTCCACTCTTGGGACTTGGGCCCTCTAGTAGTATTTAGGCCCCTTGTGAGGGGCGCCTCACTCACAGGCTGTGTTCGAAAGTTTTTTTAGAAATCAAAATCGACTCCACCTCTCAGAGTCACTCTCAGACCTCCACACAAGTCACAATTTGATAGTAAAAAAAAGATGAATATTAGCCCTGAAAATAAAAGCGAATCAAAGCGATCTGTGTTGGACTCTCAGCCAATCACAGCAAGCTAAACCCTAAACCTTAAGTATATTTCGATACAACCGAACCAAATAGAATTTCGGACCCTTCCCTAAGTTTCGGGTGCAGGGCATGTCACGGGCCCAGGCAACGCATGTATCATCCACAACCACTGAGGTAAATCATCAACACAAGCCACTCCCGAGTCTGATCAGAGAAAGGGATTCAGTTGATTTAGATCCGGGATGGTAGACTGCCATATGGAACTCTGTACCAAATACAAAATACTACGGAGCGAAGTGTAATAATGAAACAGAGATGTTGTGGATAGCAGAGTACCATTCAGCTATATCTACGCTCAGGTATAGTTGGTGCTTGTCTGAGGTCAAATGTTATAATCGGGGTGGTAAAGGGTGGTGTTTGGAATGCATGCAGGGTAGTAGAGGAGGGTCAATCGGTTGTGTTGCTTTGACACATCTTGGTTACCATTTCGACCCTCTCTGGTTGGTTGCCATTCCAATCCACTCTTATTGGTTGTCTAAAGATAGTCGATGAGAGTACTTGTCTGCTTTGCTTAGTTGTCCACACCCAGTAATCTGTTGCTTCCTTCCCTTTGTCACAGAGAATCGAGTTATCTTCGATCTTCGACCTTCGACCTTTGGTCTCTGAATCAAGCAAAGTGTGATTTTCTCGCTCACAGTAATGTCTAGTTACCTGAAGAGCTCCTCAACTACACATCAGCATAATGTAGTATATAACAGGCCACAACAGCCTGGACAAGGTGGGTCGCTTGCGCACACACACGTGTATGCGTCATCACTTAATCAGCCTAAGGTACACGTGCGAGGCTTGAAACCGTCCATCTTGCGTAAACCACCAGCTTTACGTGAGCACGACAATCTCCGCACGTGCCCTATCAATGCGTTGGGAAATACGACATACAGCTATGGCAATAATAGTGGGAGTAGTAGCTTAAATACCAGCCGACGTTCGAGTTCCGCAAGTACTGTGAGTGTGGGGGGGGGAGGTGGCATGAGTGCACAGGCGTATACACGACAGCTATCTAAGAATAGCCCAGCTGCACACACACACACGCCACAGTCGATGGGCACGCTGAGCGCTTCATCGTCCCGGAATGCGTCCCGGAATGGGACACCCTCAAGCTCTACTTCACGAGTGAACTTCCTCAACAAGACTCCCAGTCAGAAGGCGGCAGACGCTCGGAGGAGAATATCACAGCATGATGTAGAGGGTGCTTGCGACTCTTTTGCAAGCGGCATATCAGACTCAGCTGCGTTAACAAACACACCAGCATACGCCACTACGCATAGATCTACGTCTACATACGCACTCACACGAGGCCATGTGCACGCTGTGTGTGTTCCTGCGGCGGTGACTGAGGAGGCTTCAGCACGCGATGCCCCTGCTGTAACTCCAGCCTGTACACGAAAGGGAGAGTGCGAGAGGAAGTTCGGTACGCCATGTGGTCCCTCGGTACCCTCATCTCAGTCGACTGTCATTGTGCGCAAAGCGAGCACAGACGAATCGGCTGTGTACCCCACGCCGCACAACTCGACTTCTCCGAAGATAGTCAAGTCCACCGAACTCGTCTCTGAGCACACGCACTCGTATGCGTGTGTGCGGATGGATGAGCACGTGCACGCACATGGATCTGAGACCTGCGGAGATACGGTTAAGGGGCAGGCAAGCGTGTCTCCTACGCTACACGACCGAGTGCGTGAGAGAGGGGGGTTTGGATACCACATTGGGGGTGTGTACGCACCCAAACTGCGGCCCAATCTGACTAAGCTGGCCATGTCGTACAGTGGTCGTACAGACACGTGTGTGAACGAGATATCCGACGACTGCGAGGATGGCACATGTGACATGTCGTTTGGGAGAGTCACGGAGAAGGCCATCTCCGCCGTTGTGGAGATAGTGCTGAGGGATTGGGACGGGCAAAACCAGTACACACGCACAAGCCTGAGTGTGTTTCTGCGCAGCCTGTGCGTGCGGATGAATCTAGATGTTCAGTGTCTGGTGAGCACTCTCGTGTACCTGCACAGATTGAAGATGAAGTATCCGGCGAGTAGGAGTGCTTCGTGCGCGCAACGGATCTTGTTTATGAGCTTGCTGGCCGCTACCAAGTTCAACCACGATCGACCCTACGACAACAAGGCGTGGGCGATGGTATCGAACTTCACCTTACACCAAGTGAATGCCATGGAGTTACAGTTCCTGGATAGTCTAGACTACGTACTCAGTATAAGAGGCAAGGACGTCGATGGCATGTTGCAGGGCTTACGGTGTCAGGAGCTGGTTCTAAAAATAGATGCGCGGCTCGACCAATCAGAACTCGACACAGAGCTAGAGCACATCACCAGTCGGCTGTGTTTGGCGGCTGTGCTGCCGGACCTCAGCAGTGTGACGAAGGAGTGGCTGAGAAGTTCGGTACTAACCGTACAGAACATCATCGAAGGTGTCGCTCAGTGAGGGATGCAACCCTGAGTACAACGGGATCAGGCGCAGGTCAACACGTGCGTCTTCGTTTAGCGTGTCTTCAACAGCAACCACCATCCGTGTAACGAACGGGTCGAAGACTTGGGTCGCAATGGGTGCAATATAGTACAATGGTGATCACAGCATACCCACAGATGCGCTGTAAGCAACCCAATGGCCACACTACACACGGGAACATCCCGTCATGGGATCCATTTACCTACCCCCTCCCCTGTCTGGCCGGGCCAGGCTATGGAGAGAAACAACGGGGCATGGTACAAGGTGGCCGGCCGGCCTGTTATGTACACGGTAGCGAAAAGAGGTCTGTCACGGTTGATTGTGTCTAGCTGTTGGCAGAGGAATTCGACTATTAACGCCCAGGAGTTAAAGTGTGAAGGTGTGAATACCCACATCCACCTTTCCTGTTGTCTTCTGTTTCTATATAGTAGGACAGGCGTGGGTCAGAACTCGAGTGCCTTTAAAAGTGGGACATCACTGGCTATAACCCAGTGACGGGATTGGAAGGAACCGCACGCTTTCGCTTACATATGGGCGAAGAATCAACGCAGCCAAACCCGAAAACCCTATAAACCCTAAAAGCCACTATACTGATAGCTGTGTCACAGACTCCAGACGGGATTGTGGGTATAAGGATGCTACAGTATACGCTCCGCTGTTATGCGAGCAAGCACCAATCTGCCGGTGAGTCATAGTGGTTGGTATAGGGACATAACAGAGTTGTGGTTGATGTAGGTACGAAACAGAGTTGTGGTTGATGTAGGTACATAACAGAGCTGCAGGAGGTATGCCTGGACACCTCACCCGACGCGAGAGAGGATATAAATAGGACAATTAGACAGAAGATGCTAGCAAGCCTAGCTCAGAGAAGTATTAGAATGTATATAATATTATTGTATGGTAAGAAGTGCGTGTATTGATACGCACGAGTCTGGTAGAAGACTTCGGTAAACATGTGGCTATAGCCACCGTCATGTAGTGTTAGAGGTTGTAAAAAATTAGTTTAGTTGAGAGTGATTTCGCATCAGAATTAAAAAAAAAGGTGGTGCCAAACGAAGTGACAGTACTTCATTAACACACCCTTTGATCCCATTCCAGATTGGCAGCTGTGTGTTTATGGATATTTAACAGAGAAGTTTTGACAGGAATTTCATTATTTAATGGTTTTCTATCATTTCAACATGTATAGCAACATGTATAGGAATAGGAAAGTGCGCACATACATATGTGAAGAAGGTAAGTGTATAGTCAAAATAATTTGTAGGTATGTAAATATACTTATCAAAATACTTGAAAAAAAACATACACACTATATATACACATAACCGTACACACCCAAACACCCAAACCTACACACACAAACACACAAAAACCCCCCCACCACACCCACGCACCCACACACACACTCACATACACACACACACCACACACACACACACACACATATATATATATATATTTATATATACATACATATATATATATATCTATTTACATATATACATATATATGTATATGTATATA